TACGTTTGGACCTTTATGGTAAATGTCTATGACCATGTCTGCATCAGTTTATGTCTGTCTAATTTAATCATCTTCAAGCTAGTCGTAATTTGATCGTACGGAAATTTTAAGAATACGGGTATTAGACAAGAATGTTGAGCTCAGACCTCAGATCAACGGAGAATGGAATAATTGCATTCCTTGCCCCAGTTTCTCACTATTCTGAGTCTTCCAGCATTTCCCCCCTCAACTTTCACTTGGTGACATGTCATTATCTAATTATGTAGTATTTATTATTTTTTGGCACAGTGTCCAGTTACTTTTTCAATGCATATTCTTTTGGCTTATCAATTGTCTGGTTTCAATACACTAAAGAGTAAGGACTGCATTTTGTTACAGTTGAAGCAAGAAGATCCCTTCATTTGAGGCTTGGCTTGCCTTTTGATCGTCCTCTTCTAAGAATTGCAAATGCTCTAAATCTAGTTGCTGCAAAAGATGCAAAAATAAATGCTACGTGCAGCAAGGGTAAGATTGTTTACTTATATAGTTCTCTAGTGGATATCAAGCAATTTGACTCGTAGGTCGTATCTCCATACATAATTTTGAAACTTCATTTTATTGCACTGGTAGGTCACTATTTGCTCAAGGACGTACATATGGGAATTCCGAATAGTGGAGGTGAGTAGTAGTAAATTTGATGCTCTCATTGAAATATTTCAATGCCAAATTTTTTAATGGGTTATTAAATTATGCCCTTCCCTAGGCCCTCCATTGTGTGGTAACTTCAACATTGGGTATGCCTTTTTCTACTAATGGGAAATTAGATTTTTGTGAACTTTACATCTCGAACAAAGATATTTCCTTAAATGGGGTTTCTTTAAACTATGATGCTAGCTTAGTAGCTTATGAATTATTTCTTTCAGTGCACAAACAGAATATTTCTGTAATGCATCCTGTAGAGTTATTAATTCATGTTTCTTATTTGTAACCTGATGTAATTCTTGTGTAAAGTTTCTGGAGGCATTACTTCGTTAGTTCAAGGTTCTTATGAGTACTTTCACTACCTCCAAGATGGATTTGATGACTCGGTAATTAGAAATCTTCTTAAACTCAATTCTTCAAAACCTATATGTTACATGAAGTACTTTGTTTCTGTTAGTCAAATTTTAGTATTGTGGTTAAATTTCCTCAATTAATTGGAAGAGTCCTCCCATTATCTTACTATAACTTGCAAACATCATGTCATCGCAGCTCCAACATTTGGAGTGTCCTCTTATAGAATATTAAATTTCTTGGTTCTCATGGTCTTTATTTATGCCATCTCCAGTTTTTTTGACTTCATAATGGTCTTTTTAGGGCTGGGGTTGTGCTTATCGCTCGCTGCAAACCATCATTTCATGGTTCAGACTGCAAAAGTATACTGCAGTTAATGTTCCTTCTCATAGGTATTTTGTTATTCAATTTTTGTTACTCCCTCTGCCCATCCAAAAATAAATACCTATTTGCATTCAAGGAAATAATATGTGCTTCATATAATTTCTCCCTTATAAATATACACATTTTCACTTTTCTCTAATTACGTGCCCCATCAAACTGGGCACTAAATTAGAGGCGGTGTATGAAATTTAAGGACTAATATATTTTTATGGTACTACGTGTTTTTTAAAGAAAATATACTACTTATAGCTAACTACTACCTGTGTCCCTAGTTTATGATGTTTGACTAAAGTTATTTTCTTGATTTATTTTATTTATTTTAAAATTGGTGTAGAATTTGGAAAGTTTACATACACACACACACACATCCTTCCCATAAAAAGAGTCCTCTTTCGCATCATACTTTTCACTTTTGTCTCATAAAGAGTCAAAATTGAAGAAAAGATAATTTCCACCATATCAAATGTTTTTAAATTAAAAAAGCATGCCAAACAAGTTAAATTTAGTTAAATTAAAAGATAAATCTGAAAGCAAAACTAAGTTTGACGAATTTTATTAGTCTTACCTCACCAAAATAAAAAAGTTGTGCATCAAAGAAAGGGGACTCTTTTTATGGGGACAAAGGGAGTAACTATCTATCGTCCATTATTATTAATAACATACACACATACGAAGTATTGTCAATGAGAACAATTTTAATAACCTTTATTTTCAAATATGGGCGTTAATTATTTGAACATTTTTAATTACTTTAGCAGTTTTTTAACAAAAAAACTAAAGTTTAAGACAAACAAAAGTAGACAAAAGGACAAACTAAATGTTGCTAGTTCAAACAACCATTTTGGCCTTTCAAGCTTAAGAAAAACTTACTCAAAGAGTCTGGTGAACGAGTCAAACCGGCTAGAAACTACTAAACTAGTCAAACTAGTGAAAAAGTGTCTGAGAAGTGATTCACCCTCATACTAAGAGGGTGTTTGGGTGTGATTATTTTGATTGTTGAAAAATGATTATTTTGAGAACAGAATCTAAAAGCATCTGGGAGATGCTTCTCAATCCCAAACACCCTCTAAAACCCTGTTATTTCAGGGAAATACAACAGGCACTTGTAGAGATTGGAGATAAGGAACCTTCATTCATAGGGTCACGTGATTGGATAGGTGCGATCGAGCTTAGCTTTGTTTTGGACAAACTGCTTGGAGTAAGTTTGCATATATTTCTTTTCTTGTTTTGGTAAAACAGTCTTATTGCGAGTGAATTGCAATATAATTTCGATTCTGATTTTTTTATCTGACGTGTTACCAGGTAGGATGTAAAGTCATAAATGTGAGGTCGGGCGCAGAGCTTCCTGAAAAATGCCGAGAGCTGGCACTGCACTTTGAGAATCAAGGGACACCAATCATGATTGGTGAGTATGAATCCTCATTATTTTTCATTTTTTTCTTAATTTTCGTCACTTCACGCCCCAAAAATAAATAGTGGGATGGAGCCAGTGAAATTTATATATCGAAAAAACTAAATCAAAAGTTTTACAAAACAAGAGATGCCATGAATACTCCTATGCTCCCTCTGTCTTGCCAAAAAAACATCACAATTTTCCTTTTCAACAGTTCCTAAAAAAACTTCACTTTCTTTTTAAAGAAATGAATGAGTGGTTCACAGCTTTTTTCTCTCCCACAAACAAATTCTAATAAGAAAGTTTTCACTTTTCCACACTTCCCTCAAATTTTGTGAAAGTCAAACAAAAAAGTTTTTTTACGCGGAGGGAAAATTATTTATCAAATGAGTAATGAAAATAGAAAGAGAAAGGGTAAAGTTTGACTCGGTGTGATGAGACATAGGGAGTACTCCCTCCGTCCCAAAAAGTCTTTTCTTTATTTTTGTGTCTCACAAAGTCCTTTCCTTTTTCTATGAAAAAGTCACTTTTACCCCAATTCCCTTACTACTTACCCTACCTATCACATCATACATTTTTACTAATAATCGTTCCATCACATCCTACTTTTACCCATCGCATGAAGGGTATTTTTAGAAAGTCAACACAAAATATATCTCCTTTAAATTTCTTAAAAGTCAAGATGAGAACAACTTTATGGGACGGAGGGAGTATAGAACAGTAAGAACACCCTAACCTATTCTCTCCTCTTGCAGGGGGTGGTGTCCTTGCATATACGCTCCTGGGCGTGGATTACAACGATGCTAGTGGAGATTGTGCATTTCTAATACTCGATCCTCACTACACCGGCAGTGATGACATCAAGAAGATTGTCAATGGCGGGTGGTGTGGGTGGAAGAAAGCTGTTGACAGCAAGGGAAAGCATTTCTTCTTGCACGATAAGTTCTATAATCTCCTTCTTCCCCAGAGGCCAAACATGGTATAGTTTTATTTAGATCATCATCATCATCGTTGGTGGATCGCGCGGGATTCTGAGACTGTTTTGGAGCCATTTACACAAAGTGTTTGGCATGGATTTTGAATATGATTCTTCTTTAGAATGAGAATCAAAAGTTTCAGCAGCTGTGGGAAGGTGTTCCTTTCTTAGCTCTTTGACATTTTGGTTGTGTTTGTTTTAAGAACAAAAGAGAGAATTGTGTTAGAGTATTTCGGTGATATGTTGTTAAAAGCTACTAATTCTTGTACAAACAATCAATCAAATTGGTACAGTGAAGTGATATTGTATTAAAATAGTTTACAAGTATAAACACACATACACACAACATATATTTATGTTATTATTAATTGTTGTGATCATATTATATTTATTTGATGGGGGTTATTTTGGATGTGAAAGCTTAAGTCTTCAAGAATGAGAACCAGTCCCCCTTTAGCTTCTCAAGAACCGACTTCAAGAATCAATTAAACGTGATTTTCGCTCGAGATTTACTTGGTTAAGAATGCGTACTCACTCCGTACCAAAAAGACTTTTCTGTAGTAAATTACCACACTCAATAAAACTATTTTCAAGTTAATTTATATAAATATTGAGATAATGAACTTTATATATACTTCCTTCGTCCCCAATTAATCATTCATTTTTTAACGTGCAAAATTTCATAATTTTATTTACAAATTAATATAGAAATAAAAATCACTGTATAATTCACATGTTTAAAAACTGTTTTAAAAATTCTACTCCGGGTACAAAGCAAATGGTACATACATATTTTATTTTATTAAATGATTAATAAAAATTCATACACAAACAAAGGTTATCGAAAGCTTGGATAATACTACTTCCGTCCCAGAGTATTTGTCCACTTTCATTTTTACACACAATCCAATACACTTCTTTAATCCATTTTATCTTGTAATTTGTATATTAAAAAATTATAGAAAATATATATTAATAATCTACTCCGTATATGTTAAGACAAATCAAACAAGATCACACATGACTATATTTAGGCTTACACATTGAGAGAATTTGATGAGTCAAAGTGCTTAGATAAACACTTTCAAAAGTCAAAACTGGACGAATACTCCGGAACGGAGGGAGTAATAAATAGACCAATTAATTAGAGACAGCGAGAGCAGTATTTCAAAAAAAATACAGAGTACAAACAAGAGGTGACAAAGGCAAAATACAAAATCACTGGATAGTGAACATGTAATTGTTTTTGAGATGGAGAAAATATTTTGAATAAGAAAAGAAATAACCAAAGACCCAACCGTCCTGCTGAAGTGGCTTTTGGGATAACAAAGAACCAAACCCACACACCTATATTTCACATACTTGGACAAAACCAAACTGGCTGGCAGTGTTCAGAATTCTTAGAATTGGGTGGCATTTAACTTTTCATAAATTGCATATTCATGAAACCCAATCACAAGATTACACTACATTTTTTGCTGGGAATTGTGAACAAACGGCTTTAAAAAACACAACCAACAACAAGAATGGTAGATTTCGAGATACAATAGTTGCACTCAAAATTACATCTTCGTTACCTCCGAAAGGCATTGCGTTCGGATGCTTCGTCAGATCGGCGCTGTGAGTAGTGGGTCCTACGACGGACGCTCTCTTCAATGGTGGAACTACCTCCCTTCTCAGCCCCATATATGCTTCTCTGGGCGGCATCCAGGAAATTCCTTCCACCAGAAGACAGCTGCTGTGCACCAGCCATGGCTGCTTCCTTGGCATCCCTTTCCTCTTCCTTCTTTATCCTCTTCCATCGTTGCTCCTCGTGCAGCTCGGCGTCGAGCTGCATCTCCCGCAGCCTGGCAGCCCTCTCTTCTTCAGAGAGCCTGACAGGACATCTCCGCCTGTTTTCCTCCCTCTTTGGTGCATCTCTCTGGAGAGAATCTACACATTCCTTTCTATCCCGTGCGTGACGACTGGATTCTTGCTCTCTCTCAGGGTTTGAGCCGGTGAATTTGGTATGAGTATCTTTTTTTCTCTTCCCTTCTCCACTTGAATCTTCATCTGAACCTGATGAACTATGGTGGTTTGACTTTCTATGATGTTTTGACCTCTTATGATGATGATGCTTCCGTTTGTGCTTCTCGTCCTTTTTATCGCCAGTCTTGTGCTTCATTGCCTCAACCTGAACCAAAGATTTTATTTTAGGTCAGGGACGGTCCCTTGGGTACTTGGAAAATGCTAAGGGCCTAAGGGGCTATCACAGGTGAGATAAGGAGAAAAGGAAGACAGACACATGAAGGGTAAAAAAAAGAGGAAAGGACCTATCAAAGAAAAGGTAAGAAGTAAAAAAGAACAAGGAAAAATAATCACTACCAATCNAACTGTATGTGAAGTGCTGCTGAAAAATGAATCATTGCTAGCACATAATACCACAGCGAATGCAAAAGTTTTTACCACTAAAGCCACACAAAAAAAAACTCATCTTTTCTGCTATTTAAATGACATAAACATACCCCATTAGAAATCATAATCTTTAATCCAAATGTGATTATACATTAAACATTAGCATCTAAGGAGTTACCAACAATTATAGTACTGCACGAGCACAAAATCTTACATTTCCCCATTTACACAAGGCATCCCAGTAGAAACATTTGAATTCATCAAAATATTTACCCCACATTTCCAAGACTTCTTTGCTATATGCATTTCAAGATCAATGAAGAACCCAAAACCTATTTGTTTTCTGTTTCTTTAAATGATCACTACAAAGTATTCCATACAACGCATCCATGTTTTCAAGTCTAATCTTGCAAAGTTGTAGTGTACATACTCAACCAGTCACAAAGCCTATCAGTGTCCTGTAACTGTCCCCCTCTAGTTTCCTACTTTGTTCATTGCTAGAAACCTTGGTATTTCAAAGTCGCATACTTTTGAAGTTTTCATAATCACATAGAAAGCATAGACCATATCAAATTAGACCATATCAAATTACCCAAATGAAAAACCCAATCCATATCATCTAACCAAACGTCTCCGTTTTTTAAAAAATTATCTCAGCTTCAAAAGAAAATAAAAAACTTACAGATTTCCGAATCATGGCCATCTGTACAGGATTGTTCTTCACACGAGCCAAAGCTTCTTGCTCCCGTTGTCGAATTAATAGCAAGGGATCTGAATGGAGTTTCCTCCAAGCATCATTAGCAGATTGCGGCTTATCCTCAAATAAAGCACCAGGAACTGCTGATTGAGCCTGCTAAAAAACAAACATATTTCAACATAACAAATATCAAAAACAACTGTTTCATTCTTCAATATTTGAAAAATAGAAGCACATCTTGCTTCAATATGCTAATAAATAAGCATTTTGAACAATAAAACAGAATATATATGCACTTTTATATACGGAGTAACAGATAAAATAGATCACCTTGGTTGCAGAAGTAGAAGCAGCTGTTAAATCAGGAGGATCGGTCTTCGTGGGCAAAGATTCAAGAGCCTTGAACCCACTGCTCTTTCCCACAGCTAAGCCAGAATCATACAGAAACTCCAATCTCTCTTGCCTCCTGCAAAAACAAAAAAACAAAAAAAAAACAAAAAAAGAAAAGTAAAATCAGCAAAAACAGATCAGTGGAAAACAGGATTGAAATCAAAGTCGAAACTAGAAGGAAGAGAAAGGCATCATCATACGGGACGAGACCGGCTTGTTCCTGGAGTTCTCGAAACTCGGCGCGCTCTCTCTCCTCCACGATCTGCTTTCGGAGCTCCTCCAGCTTCTTCTGCTCGGCCTCATGCTTCTGTTCCGCCTTCCACACGTTCTCGATGTTACGAAGGCTCCCCGTGTGCCATCCCTTCTTGTTCAGAAACTTCAGCGCCATCGGAGAGGGTTCGGATCAAGTCCTCCCTTATCCAACCCTAAAATAAAGTATCCTAATCAACTTTCAACCGTCGGTCTCCGCCGTGGCGTCCGCTTCCTGCCCTGCCCGCCGGTTATCTTCTCCGTCAGTCTGTGCGTATCGGCGAATGATTGTTCTTGAAGAGAAAGGAGAACGAAATTGGGGGATTGGACAATTTGTACAGAATTAGACAAAAATAAAAAATGAATATAGAATATATAATTTAATCAAATAATTTCTGAAAATTATATAAATAAATAAAAACTATGACGAAAAAATTGTAATAAATTTTGAGACGAAGTAGTTAGGATTCGTTTGGTATAAGAAATTGATGGAATTGAAATTAAATTAGAATTGAAATTCAATGAGATTCAATTCCATATCATTGAATTCTACCAATTCCAATTCATTTTTTGCACTATCAATTTCAAATCCGCATAATTTTTGTGCTACTAAACATCAGAATTGAATTGAAACCCTCAATTCCAATTCCATAATTTAAATTTCGTGTACCAAACGGGGCCTTAGTGTGAATTACTCCCTCGTCTCTATTTTGATATCAATATTCTCTTTTCACATAATTTTTTTAATAAAAATTACACAATTTATTTTCCATTTGAAGATTAATGAAATATTATTCAATTTTCCATTTGGCTACCCCTTTTCACATACTTCATTACTATATCAAATCAAATAAATCTTTTTTCAAAATACCTTTAATAAAATTTCACATTTTATTTTCCATTTGAAGATTAATCAAATATTATTAAATTACAATAGTATTTAATATATACTTTTAAAACTTTACGGTCAAATTCAATTTTGTCCCCAAAAATCTAATCAAAATATTATTTCATGATATAGATCAAACATTAATTAATCATAGTCTCTCCGTGCCTAAATGTTATCACATTTTAAAAAATGAGAAAAAATATTACATTTTTTCAATATATTTGATTTAGATATTGATATAAAAATAAAAAATAAAATTTACACACTTAAAAGCTACATGAAAAATTTTTCGAAATAAAAAGTGTCAAAAATATTTTATTTTATCAAGTAATAAAAAAACGTACAATTAAACAAAAGTTTTCGTGATTGTTGAAAAAGAAAATATGACAAACATTTTGGAACACTGAGAGTAATAAATAATACCCCAGATCATGTTTAATTCATCTAAAACTCCCGTGTATATGATGAAGAAAGAAACGCCCTTCATCCACATAATTTATATTGGATTGACATGGTTGTTAATATAGAGAAAAGGAAATATTCTTTTCGTCCTAATTTAAGTTACATGTATAAAATGTTCACAAGTCTAAATTTTACCCATGTTTTTACTTATTTTTGCTATCTATTTGAAGAAAATTAAGTCATACTCTTTTCACTTCTTATCTTGAAGAACTTTTCATATAATTTTTAATATATAAATTTTACTAATAGTTTTTAAATTTTTACTAAATTTCAAATAAATTGAACTGAAAATACCTAAAATCAAGCCTCGCAAACATCAACAACAGACATCTCTTTTTAGGATGGAAGTGCGCACTTTATTCTTTAGAAAAATGATAGACAAGAAGGATAATTATCTAAAATTAAATAGCGTTTAATCATCTAAATAACAAACATAAAGATCCTCTTCAAACAGAGAAAGTACAAAGAAAAATATGGTGTGGTAAAAATAGAGAAACCCGTTTTTTCGATTGTGGTCAAAATGGGAAAAAATTTACGCTAACAGAACAACCATAATCAGAAGTTAAGGATGTGTTTGGATTGAACAAAATGGAGTTGGTATAGAATTCCATTGTTTGGTTACCATGTAGTGGGAGGGGTTACAACACACATCAACTCCATTGGCAATCCAAACACAGCCTAGGAAATAAGGCACACAACATCAAGTCTAGGAAATTGGCAGCAATAGTACTATCTCCTTACCAAAAAAATGTAGAAAGAAAAAACTTAACCAAATCCCTATTCTTAAGGTACAAACATTGATTTAAGAAACATCATTACCACACAACATCAAGTCTAGGAAATTGGCAGCAATAGTATTATCTCCTTACCAAAAAAATGTAGAAAGAAAAAACTTAACCAAATCCCTATTCTTAAGGTACAAACATTGATTTAAGAAACATCATTACCAAACAAGTTACCCTAGTCAAAGTACAATAACACAAAGCCAATGCCCCATAAACACAAGCTAGGGGCCAGACAAGGTAATTATCCACAGGACACTAACCATTAAACTAAACCAAACGCCATGCTGTGCTAGGCTCCTCCCCAAAGAAGTAGCATTATACATATCTAGGCCAACTCCCCAAAAAAAAGACTTATTTTCAAGTGAATAGAATATATATTTGAGAGAGAGAGAGAGAGAGAGACCAGATTAGAAACCTAAAGGGCGAAAGATGGAGGTGACGATTACATTAGGGCGGCGCAGCTAAACGGTGTGCGGTGCTCTTCTCTACTTCCTCCTACGCTTCTTTCCACTCTTGCTCCCAATTACTTCTTCCTTGGATGATACACCCTTCTTCCCACTCTTGGTTTCGATTTCTTCTTCCTTGGAGGGTGGTTTTACTGTTACCTCAGTCGCCTTCCTCTTTGCCCCACCATCTGCTGTATCTTTCCCCTTAGAAATAGGCTTTGATTTGCCTGTCCCGCCATTGGCTTTGCCTTCCGATTTGGGGGCAGCTTTTGTCGTTGGGGTGTCCTGTTGGGCTTTGGTGGTGGCTGTCTTTGGAGAGGGATCGGGTTTGACCGACTTTGACCTTGGGGAACTGCCGATTATGTCTTTCAACTTGCCAGACCCTTCGTCATCAGAATCGTATGACTGACGGTTATCAGCCATGTCCTTTGATTTATTACTGCCGGTGGATTTTGAGGGACGGCCTTTGGATTTTGGCTCAACATTAGCACTAGCTTTGGATTTACCACTGGATTTTGTACGCGGGCCTCGGGACTTGGGTACAGCACTGGTTAAGCAATTTCCAGTAATAATCAATACTTTGTCGAAGCACTTTGACAAGTTGTTATTATCAGGAAAAAACAGAACATCTAGATGAAAAAAATAGACAGACCTCTTAGGTGAAACATCCGACTTTTCGTGCTTGGATGATGTTTCAGCAAGTCCTCTGCCCTTTCTCTTTTTCTGCCTCTGCCTGAAAAACAGAACAGATTATCAAAATAGAAAAAAAAAACCAATACAGATGTTTCAAGGCAAAAAGGACAGTTTTGACCACGATATGAAGTGAGGAATAGAAACAAACTATCCTACTTAGCATATAAAAGCAAACAAGAGATACTTCAGGCAAGGATATTTGAATACGACCTAAAATGTGGAAAAAAGATACTTTATAGGACATGATGAACCCAGATCCTTGTCACTTAACTCAGTTGGGATGGTGGACCAAATTTTATAAATATTTTTAAAAATCAGTTCAAAGCTTCACCCATCCAATCCTATGACTGACAGCCTCCAACGTAAGAACATGTGAACCAGAGTTTCCTGGCTGCAAGAAACCCCAATCCTAACTTCACCCAGATCCCAGCATTAAAGCAAGTGATATCTCATAATGCTGAGTGTTGAGATATGTTTTTTTCTTCAAAACAGGCCGATATCATTAAGTAACATTTCATCTTTATCTTCTACTTCATACTAATTTATTCCTAAGCTCGATAATATATAAAATCCAAAGGTTCAAATACTAATGATGAGAGAGGCAAAAAGAGCATGAGCTGATATAACATAATGATTCCATAGCCACATCATATAATGAAATAATTATGCAAATGGAGAGCAGCAACACATTTTAAACCCATTTATGGAAGCAACACATTTTAAACCCATTTATGGCAGAGGTTGTGACATTTCAAATCCATTGTTTGGTTCAAAGAAAGGGGTGAATGGGAGAGGAAATTTTGGTAAGTGGATGGGAGGAAAACGGAAGGGCTCTAACACTTCTGCCTTTGGAAGGAAGCCACCTCGAGGGCTGTCTCCGCCTTTTCAAACACTGTTCTCCAGCACTCAAAACCATATAGTGATACCGATAGCTTAGCAGCACATCCACAAAAAGAAGAGTAACATAACAGCATCCAGTTAAATATATTTTTCCACGAAACAAATACAGTACTTCATAAAAAGGAGAGAGATGATACATATCAAATTTAAAAAAATGACACTCACATTTCAGCAGAAACATCAGGACTAGAAGGCGCGTCCAAATCCTATAAAATGAATGATAGTGAACAGAACGTATAAAAGTGGTGGAAGCAAAGCAAGCAATGCATGAGTTCACCACAAACATATAGCAATGCATGAGTTAACCAGAAACATACCTTTTTTTCTGTCAAAGTTTCACTAACAATGTGCCATTTTTCTTCCATAAGATTAAGAGTTTCTACTTCTCCATCAGTGTATAAAACCTACTCAAAAAGAATAAAATGTTTATTAATCTATAATTGTCAGAAAACATAAAGAAACAATTATAGGTAAAAGATAAACATACCGTGTGCATATTTTTTACATGATCAAAAGCAGATATTACACCATCGTAATATCTAGAAATGGTAAAACAAAGTTAGCAAGTTACAAGACTAATAAATTGAATGGTCTAGTACTATTTGTGTAAGGCGCTCAAAATGATTTTACAGTTTGTGGTCCCAAGCGAGGCCCTTAGGATGCAGACCAGCACATGGCCCCTAAATTTTAAGAGCGTCATATTTTTTCTTTGTTCTATAAATTTACTAGTATTTATTTTAATACAGAAAAAGAATAAATGCCAATATAACAAACCCATTATAATCCCAACTCCATTGGGCTCTGGGGAGTCAAGATATACACTACCCTTCTATAAAAAGGGAGCATGTTTCCGTTAGACCCAGCATAAAAACTAATCCACTAAAAAACTAATTCAAGAATGTAGTTGCCTCATGTGAGATCTCAAAAAGCGCCATAATTGTACTATACATGTATGAACTGAACTTACTTATCATCTAATGGCCAAAAAACTTGAACACTGGAACCAACAAGGCTTTCATCATATGTTATCTCTGGATTCCCCGGGCCCTGACATACACAAACTGTCAAAAAACTGTACAGAGAGTACGAAAAATGTCAAATTTCATTCACAGAAAGAACAAGGTTCACAGATTAACTGTCTAAAAACAAGTGCCAAGAC